TGCCGTTCATGAACATTTACCAAATATGGATGTGTCTCCTCTATGTTTGCTATAGCAATTAAAAACAGGCTGTCACTTGTTCTATAATTTCTACCAACAATATGCGAGGTACCCAGTTGCTCAGTTTGTGTTTTCCATATCTTCCCTTTGTCTGTGAGTCTCAACTCTCATCGGTTATGCGACCTGATGGCAGTTATACTATAAACCCTTTGGATACACTTTCGACCATGTTGAATTTTCATCTGGGGGACAAAAGTGTCACCTCTGACCCCCAGGAAAATCCATTGGAACTACTTCATAATCCATTAGATCTGGATTTTGCTAAGACAATTGTGAATTTTGAAAAGGCTAAAGCAGCCCTTGATGAATTTCTTCCCTTTAAATCTCCAGGGAACGATGGCATTTACCCAATTCTGCTTCAGAAAGGCTGGGATATTTTTGGTCACATTCTCGTGGACATATTCAGGTCCAGTTTGATTTTAGGATATGTTCCTAAGGTTTGGAGAACTTCACGAGGTGTGTTTTTCTTCCTAAACCAGGAAAAGATACATATGAGAAACCAAACTCTTTTAGAATGATCACGCTAACATCCTTCCAGCTTAAGCTGTTGGAGCGATTGATTTTCTGGCACCTCCAGTCAGATAATAATCTGAAACATACCTTTGGCTTAGACCAACACGGTTTTAGGCCTGGCTTCTCCACTGAGTCGGCCTTACACCAACTCGTGTGGAGAATAGAAAAAACAATTATAGACGGACACTTTGCCATTGGGATTCTACTGGATATTGTAGGAGCCTTTGATAACATCGGTTTCGAGAAAATACATAAGGCCCTTACTGGAAGTCATATTCACCCTATGATAACTAGATGGGTCATCTTCATGATTAAAAACAGGAATATCTGTGTTAGTCTCTCGCTGACTATGAAGTAAAGAGAGATATTACTAAAGGGTGTCCGCAGGGTGGTATTCTTTCTCCGTTCCTGTGGAACCTGGTTTTCGACTCACTCTTAGTACTTCTACGGGAGGAACCTGGCATGTCACAGGCTTATGCAGATGACCTTATTGTGTTATTACAGGGTTTCGATATCGGAACCCTACATAATCAAGCTCAGCAGATCTTAAATAAAGTTTCACACTGGGGTGATACAAATGGCCTTTCTTTCTCTGCTGAAAAATCTGAGGTCATAGTTTTCACGTGGAGAAGGAAATGGAAACTGGCAGATTTATATCTGGGTCACCAGATTATTAGGCATAAGGAATGCGTTAAATACCTAAGATGTTACCTGGATAGTAAACTTACATGGATCACCCATATAAAAGAAAAGGCACAAACGGCCACAAATGTTCTAGTACTTTGTAGGCGAACAATGGGGCCTTAACCCAAAATCTACTCTATGGATTTATACTGCCATTGTCCGGCCAATGCTTTCTTACGGATGCGTGGTCTGGATTAATGTTATTAACAAAAGCATCGTATTTAAACATTTTACAAAAGGTGCAAAGACTTGCTTGCCTAAGCATTAGTGGGGCTTTAAATAGTACCCCTACTGCTGCATTAGAATTTTTACTTTACTGCAAATTCCACCCTTGAAATTATTCTTGAGCGAGAAGAAGCAATTAAAGCCATGTATAGATTGAATAAAAATGGCACATGGTGCCAAAGGACAGGTTTTTGGTCATAAAAGCCACCTGAAAAGCCACATTGACATATGTCTGGACTTGGGCAATGAGATCCCTATAATCTATATGCCCAAAGATGCAATTACTAAAACAATAGTTCCAGATAAACTATTCTCAACTCATATACCAAAAAGGAATGAGATAGAATCTCTAATTGACCTAATTCCAACAGGCTCAATTGAATGTTACACAGATGGATCAAAATCCAACTTCACTGGAGCTGGAGCTATTATAAGGACCAAGGGATCTGAAGAAGATTTCATTAGATTTCATCTATACCTTGGTAAATTAACAACTGTTTCCCAAGCCGAGGTTCTGGCGATCAATATGGTCGCCAGGAGCTCTTAGCTAAAAATACAGTTGATAAGTATATATATATCTCTCTGACAGCCAATCAGCCATCCTTGCCCTGGCTAATCGTGTCAAGTTACAAAAACTGTGTTTTGAACTGTACTCAAGATCTCAATTCTCTGGCTCAGGCCCTATAATACCATTAGTTTAGTCTGGGTCCCAGGTCATTGTGATTTTGCTGGAAATGAACTAGCTGATAAAGTAGCTAAAGATGCTTCGCAACTACCCATGTCTGGTCCAGAACCATTTTACCCAGTTTCATATCAAACGGTTAAAAAAGAAGTAAGAAGCTGGATAAAGAACAAACATGATGATATATGGTCTAAACTTCCAGACTGTGCTCATTCTAAATTGGTGCTCAGTACACTTAACTTTTCAGGTAAACTCATACACCTCAGTAGAACTAACTTACGCAGGTAATTCAAATTGTTACTGGACATGCTTATCTAGCTAAGCATCTCCACAAATGTGGTCTTGTCGAATCTCCTCTCTGCCCAGCTTGTGGAGAAGAAGAGGAAACACCTTTTCACTTTCTGGGACGATGTCCGGTGTTCTCTGTCCCTAGAAACAAATTCCTTGGGTTTCCCTATATTACCTTTGATCAAGCCCTTTTATACAAAGGGCTCTCTGGCATAATAGGGTTTCTGATGTATACTAAACACCTACAGGTAAGGTGAACATGAAACCACAAGAAACAAGCATTGAGACGCCCTATGAGTTCTTTTTTTTTTTTTTTTTTTTTTAAAGAAACTATGCAGGGATTTCCCTCTCATAGCTGTGTTTTGGAATATAATTTGAAAACAGATATCAAATCTTTATACACTACCTGGCCATTTGGCTTGAGAATGCACCTTTGCCCTCCTTATTTATTTATTTATTTATTTGACTCTCCATCGCACTCTTGTTTGGTCAAGAATTTGCGTTTGGTGGTTTGGGAGGGATTGAATCGGTTTTCCATCCAATAGGGAAGTTTTCACGATCCAGCCGACACCTTGAACTTAGAGATGGGATCTTTTGCTGATACTATAGATTTGGTGTCAGTTTGAGATCTTATCCATTTATTACTTACCTTTTACGGGAGTTACCATTTAAATCCCTTGATTTAAATGATCAAATGGCGGAAGAGTAATGGGCAATTTTGCCTAAACTCCTTTCCTTCTTTTCATAAGAAGGAAGCGCCCCTATTGTTATGTTATGTTCCCTTTGTTTGTATCTTCAGAACCTGTAAGTATACAGCAAGTTCACCACAAGTTTCCCTGCTGTTCTCTTCTACAGATCTCTTTAGGACCTCATCATCCAATACCTGTAGATGCCTACTGCAAAAATCTTCACAAACACTCAGATCTCCTGATCTAAACTTCTGGGACCAATGCCTGGAATTGCATTCATTCACAGTATCTTGCCTGCGAATAATGCCTGACATATTCAATTACTTGACACAGCCAGTATCGCAACCACTATACCAATCAAAGTGGCAGACTTGTAACAACACTGCTTGCAACTGCAACCAAGATGGAGCTTCTGAATTCAAATCTGATGTTTTGCTCAACAAAAGACCAAAGTGATTCAATGGCAATTTAATTCAAGAATTCCTTAAAACCAGAATGTAAATGTAAATGAAGGTGATCTGAAACTGGCTATGTAATGACTGAATGTTTAATGCAGTGATGTTCTAAAATCAATCTTTCTAATCACAATAACACAGAGATCATCAGCAGGCATAGGTTATCAGCCAGTACATTTTTACAGCATGCAGTGTTCAACAACCTCTTTAGGCAGATTAATGCATGTAACACGATCTTCCATTCTATTCCACAGCTGTAGCTAACATAAACAGAACATTAACTTGTTAGGATGAACCCTTATGCTAATGCTGTTTATACTCTACTCAAATTCTCTCATTAGTCTGCTGCAGTAGTAAGGAAGATAAATCTGGCCAGATAGCTATGCTCAATTCTGTAGAAGTGCAATCTTGATGACATCAGGCTAGATATAACATCCAATAACAAGCTAAAATCAATAGCATATAGTAAAACCCCATCTTCTGTCCCTCAAGAACTCCACCATATAATGTATCCTCTATCTATGTTTGCTATAGTTCCAGTGTTGGATCTGGACAAAATCTGGTTCAATACTTTTGATCACTCTGCAACAGTCAACAATGCAAATTCCAGTCACTGAGGAATAGAGACAAATGTTGTACACACTCAACACTTACTGATTTGATGATATAATAACAATAACCTTCTAATAAAGATGCCAATGAGAACATTAACGTCTTGAAATTGAGAACACTCAGCACTTCATAAAGAGCATGAAACATGTGTCCTGCATCTAGAATGCATCTGAAATTAAATGTACTACAATTACATAGACCCACTATATCAATTATAATACATTTTTTGGAAATTCAGAAATTCACTTAATATTTATAATTTGAGTCTGATTTCCAGTCTGCTCAGTTTTTTATTACACTTCCCATAGCCTCTGCATCTGATGTTATTAATAACTAATATTCATTCATTTATACGTTAGAATTCCTTAATCTTGGTCAGTAAATTATAAACATGTGGTTTGAATAAATACATATCATAAAAATAAAAACCTATTCAGATTAAAGTTAAAATATCAGAAAGAAACTGATAACCACAAATATTGAAAAACGGCATACCGTTTTAACAAATAATCATGAACTGCATACCGTTTTAACAAATAATCATGCTTTTAAACTGCAATGTATTTTTAAAAAGCCCATTCCTTAAAATTGCAATTTCAGAGAGAGGAAAAAAATATTACACTTAGTACTAATTAAATGTATGAAAATAAGAAGCTGTAAACATAAGCATTAATTTAACATCAGTTTTAAACTTGGGTATTAAATTCTATAAAATTTCAGGCTTCTTTCAAATATTTTGCAATAACTTCAAAAAATTATAAAAATGTTTATTAAATATATTAAAATATGTACCCAACATATAGTTTCATTCCTGTGAATAAAATCCATGGGAGTTTTCTCAATTACTGTCACAATAGTCTTACTATTGATAAGAGAACCATTCATATAAATATGCTGGAGATTTGCCGAATTCGTGAAGATCAGTGTTGGTGGAGCTTTGTAAGGGACTGAAATAAAAAGAGAGAAAATACAAAGTATAGCAACTATCAATTGCATATTATACTAAAATTATTAATTACAAAAAATATTTTCCTCATATCAGAAGCTTAATTATTTAGAAAATGTTCTCTTCTGAGAAACTATTTTAATATCAAATAATAAAGGCAAATAGTGATAACTATACATGCTAAGTATTATAGACATTAAGGAATATTAGATGATTAAATTAATTAGTTGGTTAATTATTCAAAATAAGGCATGTAAAATTTATCTCTGGCAAGGATGGTAAGCCTGTAACCTTTCATGTAATCAATGACATTTTTTCATATATTTTGCTTAAATAAAAAAAATTAACTGCTTCTTATTTCACACTGCAATACAAAACTCTAATATTTTTATCTATCTGTTCCGATTCTTAATGCACCCATTTCCTATTCAAGTTTAATTTAAAGTTGCTGCAACAAGAAATCCATACAAAATATTTGAAAATACTGTGGCTACAGAATTTTTTTTCTTTCTTTTAATATCAGTTCAAGAAAAGTTATCCAACTACAGAGCTCCTCAAAATAGGATAATGAATTTTATGAAAAGAGTTTCAGTATTAGAAGTGAGAATATTTTGCAAATACAAGAGTCTAACATTTCTTACAGTCCTTATACAGCAAAAATTCCAATTAATAAAAATAATCATTATATTTTGCTAAATTAAATATAACATATTTCATTCTTCTTAACAAGCAAAATTTGTAGAGATATTTGAGAACTAATTTAATTACTTAGATCACTATTTATGACTATTGCTTGATAGCAGAAATACAGTACAAAGTCCGTAATCGGACTCGGCGGGACTTTAGCGATTCGGGATTAGGGATTTTTCTGGATTATAGATCATCAATTTAAATCTGGTAAGATGGCATGCAGTAATTATACAATTAAAATATGAAACCATAATTTATGAAATAAAGAGCAATTATGATCTAAAGGGTATCAAAATTTACAAAAAAAAGCTTAATATTTATTTGTTTACTTTATTAAAAATTTCTTTCAATGTAAGTTGTTTAAGTTGCTTCATTTTTTTTGTGCTAATACTTTCTCTTTAATTCTATAAGGAGACATAATTTTTTGTTCAGTTACAAAGTTCCGCCTATTGGAGGCGGTATTTTCTGGATCTAGAACCATACCACAAATTTCTTCGTCCGTTCATTGATTGATGATTGGGGCATTGTCGTCGCGATGAAAAACTTCTGTTATAGCATCTTCATTTATTACCATTTCTCCACATTTCTTTACAAAATCCAATAACTGGAAAATTTCATCTTTAGTTTGCGATGTCCGAAAACCTTCAAATCCGCAGCTATCATCTTTATTGTCCTCACCATGAAATATGGTAGCTGGGCATAAATTATGTCAAGCATTTTTTAACGTATCCTGAAACACATCCTATCAACACACATTTGCATGCTTAAACGTGCATGGGTAAACGCATTATGCGCATGCGTAAAGCATACAAAAAAAAAGTTTGTGGCTTTCAGGTCCAGATTATAGATCATTCCAGATAATGGACGTCCAGATTACGGACTTTGTACTTTATTGCATTTTGGTACTTAATCCTTCAAGGGACCAAGGATTTGGACCAAAAACCATTAATTTCCCAAAAAGATCAAAAGTAAATGGTATTTTTCTTCATTATAATTCCAAAACGGCCTTCCTACTTTGCATGCTCTATAAGACTTTTCTTCCAATAGGTAGAACAGCCTAATTGTTAAGACAAAATAACATGCCAAACAAATACTAATTCAGATGTCAAATAACAAAAATCAGCGTTATATCTTCAAATTTTTCACAGGACTAGTTTCGATAATTTTACCGAACCATCATCCTACGCTGCAAAAGTGCAAATGAACGAGATTAGATATAATGATTAGATAAGATAAGAAGACCTGGACCAAAGATAAGCTACTGGCGCCATCTGTTGATGAAACCAGAACTAAAACATAATTTCTTTAAAGGCTGAAGGCAAAGATGGATTGAAATTAGGGTCATTAACTAGAACAGAAAGATTTTTCTGAATGTGAAATGCCTCTAGAAAACCCAGTTCACCAATAGATGTTTTTTGAATAATTTTGGCAGCAGAAAAATTGAAATAAATGTTTAATGTATAATGCACGTTTAATGTAGAATGGACGGTTTCGGACCAACAATGTTGAGCAACAGAAGACTTCCTTTTTTCTAACATAAAAGCTATAATTTGGATCACCTCAGTTTTCTCTACACTGAAATATTACATACATACATTTGGCTAGGCCATTTGAAGAGTTAATGGTTCCCTATTGAAAAGTAGAGTTTAGTAGATGGAACAATGAAAATATTAATTTATATTTCTATGAATTTTTATACAAATCTATGATACCTTGTTAATAAAAATAGTCCCTTTATTTAGTCACTTCTTTAATAATCACTTCTGCTGTATTTAAGATACTAAAATAAAATATTACATTTAACAAATTTCTTACTGTACAGCAGAGATTCACAACCTATTTCTGCTTGTGGATCCCTGAATCCTAACTTTAAGCATGTGGCTAGCCAAATATGCATATGTAATATTCCAAAATGAAATATTATTTATAGATACTAAAATCGAGTAAAAACACATAACCACTTTATTATTTTTAATTATTTTGTTAATAGTACAAAGTCTCTAATTGGATGTCCTAATCCGGAATGATCTATAATCTGGACCTCAAAGCTACCAACTTTATGCGCACGCGTAAACGTATAATGCGTTTACGTTTAATGATATGGATGGTATAAAATATCTGAGGCATGCGTCTTAATGTATAATGGACGTATAAGCTAGGCTAAAATTATCTAAGGCATTTCAGTTAATGTTGCAGATTGCACTGTTCCTTAATCTTTTAATTGGATTCGGCTTATTATTTTTTACAGACTGTTAGAGCAATTTTATAAAAAGTAAGCTTGAACTTTCGATTATGTCAAAAAGAGTTTCAAATTATGGAGCTGCCAAAGGATCTACAAAGCAAAAGCATGTTTCGATGTACATCAAACAAAAAGTGGAATTAATGCAAAAAATGGATAAAGGCATATCCGTCTCAAAATTATGCAAGGAATATGACAATGGAAAGTCAACTGTATATGACATAAGCAAAAAGAAAAAGGAACTTTTTGAATATTTCTTACTGATTTCTTACTGTACAGCAGAGATTCACAAACTATTTCTGCTTGTGGATCCCTGAATCCTAACTTTAAGCATGTGGCTAGCCAAATATGCATATGTAATATTCCAAAATGAAATATTTATTTATAGATATTAAAAATCTAGTAAGCTAAACATTAACCTACTTTATTATTATTATTAAATTATTTTGTTAACAGTACAAAGTCTCTAATCTGGATGTCCTTAATCCGGAATGATCTATATCTGGACCTCAAAGCTACAAACTTTACGCAACGCTTTATGCGCACACGTAATTATACTGGTCGGCTGCAATTATCTATACACATGCAGTTTAATGTATGGACGGTCTAGGGAATTATCTAAGGCATTCAGTTTTTGCAGTCGCCTGCCTTCTTAATCTTTTTGTCTTCTTTTATTTTTTGCGTTTACATTTTCCTAAAAAAGTTTCTTTCGATTATGACCATTTCTTTTTATGCCAAAAAGCTTGAAACTTTTGATGCAAAAATGGATCTGGCATGCCGTCCTCCAAAATTATGCAAGGGATACAGGCAGTCACTGTTGATGCAAAAGAAAAGGAACTTCGAATATTTGGATTCCGACCCCTACTTGCAATGACTACAAAAAAAGGAGTTATGCTAAAGTGACGACCATGACAAAGTGAATGGTAAAGTAAATAAATAAATATAATTTTTTTTTTTTTTTTTTTTTTTTTTTTTACATTTGATCATTGTCTTTTTTCTTTTATTTTAATTTGTATAATTCTGCATTCCATCTTACCAGATTTCTATAATCCGGATAATCCAGAATCGCTGAAGTCCCAATGATTCCGGATTATTGACTTTGTACTGTAATATTTGATCATGAACTCTATATTTCATATTATGGAATCCTGAAATGCAGTTTTTTTTTTTCCTCTTCCACTTGGGAAACACTGCCAAGAAGAAATCACATAAAATTTTTATTTTGCAATTACATCTTCAGCTGGAACTATTCTTATAAAATTCCTTACTTTATTTTGAGAAACTTTGTAACTGGATATACATAGTTGAGAACAATATTTAAGGAAAGAAAAAGACTTGTAGTAACTTTTTATAACCTCTGTACGTTATTAGCATTATTATTAAACATTACAAGCATAAAGGTATTTTAATACTGATATTTAAAATAAAAAAGGTACAAAGTCTGAGACTCGGTAATGTCAAAACTTCAGACTTTAGATTATTAATCTAATAATGAATCTCGATGTAAGGTTGGATCTAACTCACAAAATTAGAAAGTTGGACCTTCCTCCCGAGGCCTTATGGGCAATTGCTTTGGAGACCATCTGTAACTGTTACCCTTCTGATAACTGATTACATGTGTATGCTGATGGTTTGCTTTCTGATTTTTTGGACAGCTCTACAGCTGGCATCATCAGTGAACTTTTTTGTTTTTGCCTTCCAAATGGAAATTTCATGACTCACTTTGACGGAGAGATGGAGTCTATTCTTACATCAAATGTTTTATACAATGTTTTACACAAACGAACTATGTTTTATACGAGAAAACTGCTTTATAAAAGTTGTGATCCTTACTGATTCTGTTTCTACACTACAGTATTCTTCTAATAAAGGGGTTTAGAACTCCCCCCCCCCGGCCTCCTAAAATGCAGGACTTTGCTTGAGAACTTTCCTTTTAGGATGTCCTACTAGTAGATCCCCTCCCACTGTTGGCACTAAAAGCTGATTATGTTGTCAAGAAAGTGATCTTCTGTTCTTCAGAAACCTCTAGTGAAATTGCGATTCCACTCAGATAAATTGGAAATAGCTACGATTCCCCCCCCCATAATACAGCTTTGCATCCTTAAATGGCTATCCTTGAATGGCAGACCTTGAACATACTCTTTTCTAGACCACAACTTGTTCCTGACTCAGCTCGTGCGGCTGCAGTTGCAACTTTTAGAATGTTAATTGGGCATGGTTGCCTTCGCACTCATCTTTTTCAATTTAACATTGTGGACTCTCCTATGTGTTCTCTTTGCATGACTGCTTTACATTTGGCTGAGTGCCCTGCACTATCTGCTTTTTCTTGTCATGTGGTGAGATATTACACAGCCTGTTGTCTAACGGCTTAGTAGCCAAATGGCAGGCATTTGATAAATAAATAAAAATTTAATCACGTAAGAAGACATGTAGACATGGTAACATTGGAGTTCGCTAATTATTTGGATCAGATAGAAAAATGCTAACCCTCCACAACCACTAAAGGGCTGAAGCTATTATTCTAGTCAACATCAGTACAACATCAATTAATGTATTCTCACTGACCACGGTGTTGCATTCTTAGCCAGCAGGTGTTTGAATGCAACATGTGTCAGTTAAATAGGAGTAAAACTGCATATACTACACAGCTGCTTCTTTTTGTTGAGTATTATATATTCCATTCTTAGACTTTGTAGGAGAGGGAAATTTTTTCATATTACTTATTTTACTTATTCATTTATTTTTTGGCTGGTGGTCCAGATATTGGACGTCCAGTTTTTGGACTTCACACTGCAGTAATATTTAGCTTACTGTATTTCAAGCTTTATTCACACCTTGTTGTCATTATCACAATGAGAAAAATATAGTTATCTGAATGTTTAGTAATAATAAATAGATGTATGCCATGATTCTGTTCTAAAATAATTAAATGTAATGCATGAAAATAAACCATTGCTTAAATTGTTCCTTTCAGAGATGATGGCACAGACAGTTATTTGCACTTGAAGGTAGTGACAATAAAAAAATATAAATAATATTTCCATGCCCTTAACCTTTGAAGTGGCATAGCTTTTTGGATCTATTCAAAAAGAACTGTATTTAAACAGCTTCTCTTAGCTTAATTGGTATAACTATTTACTTTATCTTCCTTTTCATGATCTTTATTTCATTAAGATGATATTTATATCATTACAGAAAGTAATAAAATACAACAATTTAAATTAAAAGCTAATATATACCAGTAAAAATATCATAATCAGATAAAGGAAGGAAGGCAGGCCACTTGGGGTTAATATGAAATTACTGTTTTGGTTTCCAATATTAAAATAACTTAGTAAGTGAAAGTTTAATATGCTGATTCCTTCATATGTTATAGAGCATATGCCTAAACTTTCATTCAGCTTTTGTCACATAAAAAAAAATAACTGCATTACACTTATTCAACATTTGCACATCAAACTGAAGTTTTATAGTGCTAAAAATCATTAAAGTAATGTTAAACTCACTTACCATTGATGCCAATACACCTATGACCTTTGGCTTTGTAACCTTCAACACAGGAGCATTCATAGGATGTATCCTTCATATTACATATCTGATCACATAATTCATCATTCCCACAAGTGTTATTCGGGGCATCTGAAAAAAGAGAAAATATTTATGATAAATTTATGACTTAAAAATATAAGACTGAATGATAAGTAAATTTATGCGCATAAAACGCATACTTTAAGCAAGCAAGTGATAATTATCGATTCAGAATTATGAAATCTTGGAGGTTTTACATCTAATAAAACAACTTTGTACAGAATAAGAATCATCAAAAATCAAGTGTGCCTTTGTCAGGGATCAAATCATTGATCTTCTAACAACTAGCCAGATGTATCAAACACTGCTCTACAAAGATATATGGAAAGATTGCCTTTAATTAATTACAAGCTTCAATAAGATTTTACTTAATTATCTGAAAATCTTTCTGGTACTCTTCTGTTATTGGGACCAGGTTTCAGAAATGTATATATGTATGCATGCATGTATATATGAATGTATGTGTTTATGTATGCATACATGCACATATACACATGCACATACATAGCGTATTCGGAAACTAAGTACCGTTTCATTCTAGCGCTGTGGTAGGCGTCCCGCGCATGCGCACAAGTCTTTCTTGTTCACTGACTTTCAATTGTCGCCATTTTGGTTGCTCTATGTTATGTTTTCAGTTTGCTGTGCACATTCAAAATGCTTAAGACAATTAGTTCTCCCGCTGACTGTGAGATTTGTGCCATGATTAAATTTTTGAATGCGAGGAATGTTAAACCGGCCGAAATTTATCGTCAAGTGACAGAATACGCAATAAGTGATGGAATGGTAAGAAAGTGGGTAAGAATGTTTAATGCAGGTCGAACAAATGTCCACGCCGAGGCTCGGAGTGGTCGGCCTTCTGCTGTCACCGATGATTTGGTAAGGAAAGTTGATGAAGCAATTCATGAGAACAGACGCTTCACAATGAAAACCCTTTCAGAGGCATTTCCACAAATTTCACGTACTGTTTTGTTCAAAATTGTGTCCGACTGCTTGAATTATCGCAAACTGTGTTCCCGATGGGTTCCGAAAATGCTCACTGATGTTCACAAAACAAAGCGACTTGGTAGTGCCCTGACATTTCTCACGCGGTACAGTGATGAGAGAGAAAACTTTTTAAACCAAATTGTGACAGGTTGATGAAACTTGGGTGTGTCATTTCACACCAGAATCGAAACAACAATCGATGGAGTGGAGACACACTCATTCTTCGAAAAAACAAAAGTTCAAAGTGACAATGTCATCACAAAAAATCATGTGCACTGTATTCTGGGATAGGAAAGGTGTTTTGCTTACTGAATTTCTTCCCAGAGGTGAAACCATTAATGCGGCACAATATTGTGAGACTTTAACAAAACTAAGGCATGCCATTCAAAACAAACGAAGAGGAATGCTCAGTAAAGCAATTGTGTTGCTCCATGACAATTCGACAGTTTCATTGAGAGCAGTTCGATCACCCGCCGTACAGCCTGGACTTGGCGCCGTGCGACTATCACTTGTTCCTGCACATGAAGCAAGAGCTTGGTGGCAAGCGCTTTGGATCTGACGATGACACGAAAAATGCTGTGGAGTCGTGGTTATCGAAACTGGCGGGAAGTTTCTTTGACGATGGTATACAAAAACTGGTCACCCTCTATGACAAGTGTTGATCATTGCAGAAACTATGTTGAAAAATAGTTTAAGACATGCATTTTCATGTAAAAATAAAATTGGATTCGAAAAAATTGTTTTACTATTTTTTTTTTTTTTTTTTTCCAAAACGGTGCTTAGTTTCCGAATACGCCTCGCATATGCATAGACATATACACACATGCATATATACGTCCTTTCATCCGGTCCTGACAGCAGAAGAGTACCATCTTTCTTTCTATATGCATTAATAATTTGATGGTTTTTTAAAATTATTATAACTACTTTTACACTACTTTATGGCACACCTTTCTGACATAATCCTGAATACATAAATTAGGGATCCACAACCTTTTTAGCAGAATGGCCACTAACAGAAATGACTTGGTTGCCGAGGGCCGATAGCATATGAAAAAAAAAAGGGGGGGGGGAATGCAATAAGTCACTTAATTTGCAATTCAGACATGTACCATATCAAATTTAAATTGATTTGAAGACCATTATGTATGTATGTAAGCAAAGAGGGATGGGGTTTGCAAAGAAGGATGGGCAAAACATCCAGTTCAGCTTGAAACAAAATACAGTTTATGCTTGTGCATGATAATTTAATACTTGTATACAAAAATTTTAACAAAAATGTGAACAAGTTAGCCATAGTTAAATATATTAGTATGATGAGACTGAAGTTTATCAACAATTTTTGATATATTTGGTTGAAAGATATTTGTCGATATTCTTAAGACAAATTACAAGTGTTGATCTAGTTCAGAAGTCAAACAACAAAAATCAGTGTTTATTTTCAAATTTTCACAGGACTAGTTTCAATGGTTTCAACGAACCACCCTCATCAGCTGCAAATGCGCAAATGTCCTGTGAAAATTTGAAAATATAACGCTGATTTTTGTTGTTTGACTTCTGAATTAGTATTTGTTCAGTGTGTTATTGTGTATTAATTAAGTGTTGATCTGTCAGTTTATTTCTTAATTTTGACTTATTCATAAGAGAAAATGTTTGCTCACATATATAAGTACAACCAAACATGGTAGCACATATGTTTGCATTATTTTTTTAGTGTAAATAGTTGGCAGGTAGAGTTCTATAAAAGTCCAGAATATCTAAATCATGGAATCTGGTTTTGGTTAAATCAGAAGTTTGTAAATCAATAAGTTCTATTTGAACATCTTCTGAAGCTTCACCTACAACAGAAAATGGATCCCTGAACAGTTTAAACTTATGCAACTCAAAGTCTGCCAATCGCTTTTCAAAAGAAATAAGCAGCCTCTTTATTTCATCTGAATAATCCAATTGTTTATCAGGAAAATTTTCTTTGAGTTCTTTCAGGTAAGGAAAATTGATAAAATTTTGACAGCCTAGCTGCTTTGAGAACAGCTGGAATTTTAGTTTGAAAATACTGCATTGGCTAGGTGACTGATGAATTGGTTTTTTCCCATCAATTTTTTGTTTAGGTCATTCAGATGGGCTGTGTCACACATCAACTAAAAATGCTAAGTCACACTTGAAAGATGGGTCCTTTAACATCCTAGTTTGCTTGCCATTTTCTTCAAAGAAATGGTATTATTTCATCAATCAAATCAGCAAACCTTTTCAAAGCCTCTCCACAGTTCAACCATTGTATTTCAGAGTAATATATGAGATCACTACGTGGTGCGTCTGTGTGTTCTAGGATTTCCTTAAATTGCCTGTGGTTTAAACTATGTGAACAAATAAAATTGATTGTATTGCTCACTATATTCATTAGGCGGTCAAATTCTAGTTCTTTCGCACATAGCTACTCTTGGTGTATGATACAATTGATAACCAAGCAAATCTTTTCCTCTATCATCCAAATACAGGTGTTGGGTCCTACAGGCTAGGAGAAATTTTCGTGCTCAAGCAGCGGAAACACGCTGGGAACTTGGCTCAGTTCCAAATCTCACTTCGAGGGGACATAGTAGAATAAGTAATGAAGCGGGGACATAGTAGAATAAGTAATGAAGGGAAGTATTTTTTGCTTACAACCCCTTCTAGAGACAACCGATATGTCAAATTGCAACAAAAGTTTGAAAAGGTCTCAGCAGGCCACAGGTTGTGCATCCCTAACATATATGATAATAAAAGATAAATATTTGTGTTTATACATGATATTTATTTATTTGTATAAAAAAATTAAAATTAAATCCAGAAGAAATTTTAAATCAAGAAAAAAATTTATATTTCTGGCCTAATAATAAAAAACAAATATGTATGATCGAAATTGGTTTCATTGTTTTCCAAAATATTCTCCATGAAGATTAATACACTTTTGTATGCGTCTGAATAAATTTTCGAAGCAGTTTTTCCACTCTAATTGAGGTAACTCCAAAACATGCATTTTGTATGCATCAACCGCTTCTTCGAGTGTCGCAAATCGCAGATTACATAATTTATTTTTTATGTGCAGAAATTTAAAAAAGGCATTGGGAGCCAAATTAGGGCTTTACGATGACCCATCAATTCGATGTTTTGGCCTGTCAAAAATTCCTTTGTTTGAGCTGATGTGTTTGAGCTCGCATTATCATGATGAAGAATGATTTGTCCCTTCTGCTTTTTTCAAATTTCTCCTAAACAAATGGTTAAACAAATGGTTTTAAACAAATGGTTGTGTACCATTTGGAATTAACTATCCTGCATTGCTCTAATGCCACTGTCCCCACATGACTAGTCATGCCAAAGAAACAGGCAACCATTTACTTCACTATGCTTCTTCCGTGAACAAATTTTGTTGGATTTGGTTCATCTTGGAATACCTATACAGTTGACTGCTGTTTTGTTTTGGGGTAATATGCATAGATCCATTATTTGTCACCTATGTAGATGTTATAACAGCCTTTGATGCACATTGAATGTATTTTTCTAACATTTCCTTGCACCAGTCGAAAAAGCCTTCTTCTGAACATTTGTCAGATTATGTGGGATCCAACTTGAACCAATCTTTTTGAGAGACAAATATTCATATAATTCTTATTGATGATGTCATACTAATGCCTAAAGATGCCTCAATCTCATGGTATGTCAGATGACGATTTTGTTTCAACAGTTCACATACAGCATCGATATTTATTGGTACAAAAACCGATTTTGGATGACCTTCATGGAATTCGTATTGCAGCGAATGCTGGCCATGACTAAATTCATTAAACCAGTTTTTTTACAGTGCTGTACGCTGATGCTTTATTGCTATATAAAGTATTAAGTTCGTTGAAGCACTCTTGTCTTAATAATCCATGTTGAAAGTTATGAAAAATAATCACACGTAAATGTTCACGAGTCAATTTCATTTTTGGCCCAAGATGAATTTTTCAACTTACTGCAGACAACATAAATCATGCTAAAATGGCAAAACATTCTGAAGAAGTTATAGTTAAAAATATCAAACTTTCAACTGGAACCATCTGCGTTTACGTAGAAACACTTTTACCAAGGCCAGAAATATAAATAGCAACCTTCATATTAGCGTAAATAATCCTATCATTGAAGAAAAGAATAAAAAAAAAAAGAGAACTTTTATCTGAAAAAAAAAAAAAAAGTAAAATACTTACTAATACATTCATTTCCATTAGGCTCCTTGCCTTCTCTGCAAAAACATAGTGGCCCTTTTGGACTAGGTTTGCAGCCGTAAGTGCAGTTGAGTGTTGCACATATTGTTTTATTTACTATAAAAAAAAAATTTTTAATTGACATCTTAGCTACAAACTATTTTGAATACTTAAATTTCACATACAATATTGATAAAAATGAAGCCAATTAATTTTTATAATATATTTTAATATGTATTTATAATATATAACTTTATATTGAACTAGAGTTATGAAGGTCAACTTTGAAAATCTTAACCATGTTAAAAATTAAATTCAAAAGACTGGATTTAAATTGTTCAATTCTAGTATTTTTACTCATTTTGAAAATCATAAATAACATATAAGAACATAAAATTTTCATGGAAAGTAAAACTGTTATAACGCAATCAAGGAATTCAGGAGGGAGGGTGGTCATCAATTATTTCCATCTCTTATCACTTTTAGTTTGACAACTATGTATTTATTTCAATGACTTTTTAATAATAATTATAATCCTCTGTTAACTCTGGTTTTCTAAACATAAAAATTAAGAAGAAAACAAAATCCTTTTGTTTGTAAGATACAAAAACATTAGCTTTCTTAACTGATCTTACTGAAGATTATAAATCTTTTTTTTCCTTATTCTTTTAAATTTCATTTCAAAAAATTTAATTATACTTACAGCAAAATGGTCCTTCATCAGAAAAGTCTGGACAATCATGATTCCCATCACATAGCTTCGAGATCCTTCGACACGAAATACCATCCTTACATCGAAAGTAATTTTTTGGGCAAACATTATCTTTATTACCTAAAAAAATATTATTGCTCAAATATTAATTTATCTATATAAGATACAATAAAAGTTAGTTCTGTGTTCAATTTATCTTAAAAAAATTTTATAATCAGTCACTATAAATATTACCAAATACATTAAAAGCATTACTTCATTTCTAATATTTTAATGTTAACAAATTCACTAAAAGATTGTTAATATTTTGCTTGATTTCACAAGTTATGTTGAGATGAAAAGCATTAAAATTGCATAAATCTAAGAAAAAAAAGTTTACACAATAAAATTCCTTGCATTTTAAGTGATTTTACAAAAATTCATTATACAGTCAAGTCTTTAATCCAGACTCATCGGGACTTCGGCGATTCCGGATTATCGGTTTTTCCGGATTATAGATCATCAGTTTAAATCTGGTAAGATGGCATGCAGAAATCATAAAATTAAAAATATGAAACTGTAATTTATGAAATAAAGAGCAATTATGATCTAAAGGGTATCAAAATTTACAAAAAAAAGCTTAATTTTTATTTGTTTACTTTATTAAACATTTCTTTCAACGCGCACATGACTAAAGCATACATTATGCTTTAGTCATGTGCGAATTTAGAAAATTCGAATTAGTCGAAATTAGAAAATTGCAACCAGAAAACTATTTGATGTGTATTCGTGATATTTATAATGAAGAGGAATTTGATTTAAATCATATCAAAGACGGAGTACATCGACTACTACATTTAGTAAGGAATTATAAGCCGAATAAAATAAAAAACATCTGCCTTGAAGATAAGGATAGTGCTGACAGATCAACTTCCAGTTCATTGCACCGCCACGACGCCCCCCCCCCCCCCGAGATCAGCGTGAAATTGATAAACAGATTCGGAATGGTTAGAGAAACAAAGGATATGCCTTTATCCATTTTTTGCAGCAATTCCACTTTTTGTTTGATGGACATCGAAACATGTATTCGCTTTGTAGATCCTTTGGCAGCTCCAGAATCGGAAATTCTTTTTGACATAATCGAAAGTTCAAGCTTAGTTTTATAAAATTGCATTGCGTTTACGCATGCGCGGAAAGTTTGTAGCTTTGAGGTCCAGATTATAGATCATTCCGGAATATGGACGTCCAGATTAAAGACTTTTGACTGTAGTTCTATTTATAATCGCTTGTTTTGCAATCATTACGTTTTCAGTCTGCCATATGTAAAATAAAGTTATTTATTTTATTGTGAAATAATGATTAAAATATTAATTACTGAAAATACCAAAAAAATATTTTTAAATACATAAAATAGTTGAACAGTCACAGTAATGAATTGTATTTGAAATTGATACAAAGCATCTGCTAGTACATTTCATGCTGTAAAAATAACTTCAAAAATTTAATGAATATGCAGGGTGCTTCATAAATCATGGGACAAACTTGGAGGGGTGGTGAAGCATACTAAAACATGCATTTTTTTATAGGAATGTAGGGTCTAAAGTGACGGGTTAAGGCAGGAAAGCAAAATAGTGACACGAGAGGAAAATGTGTTTATGTACAAAATCAACGCTTCTTTATGTACAAAGTGCTTCTTTGTAGCAATACAGTATTCACAATAAATATTCAAAATTTCGACCACCAACAGTAATACATGCTTGTTAACATCATAGGAGGGATTGACGAACATTCTGAAAAACGACAGGCATTTCGTGCACACTTGCAGCCGCAATGGATAGTCGTGCAATGAGGTCCTCCAGTGAGTCAACAGGAGTCTCGTAAATGATGCTCTTCAAATGGCCCCATTAAAAAAAAAAAAAAAAAAAAAAAAAATCCAAGCTGGATAAATCTGGCAAACGAGGTGGCCATCGAACGGGTCCCATCCAAGTAATTGCGGACCCGCCCGTGGTTATGGGCTGGTGCACCATCATGCTGGAACTACACGTGATCACAAACGACAGCCGGAACATCCTCCAGCAATTCCGGTAGCACCTCTTGCAGAAAAATATGATAACATAAGCGATTTATACATGCAGGTAAAAGGTATGGGCCTATCAGATTAGTTGTTAACAATACCTGCCTAGTTGTTAACAATGCCTGCCAACATTCACAGAGAAGTGGGTTTGGAATGCATATGGATGTGTGGATTATGTGCATTGTGTGCTTTGGCATACGCACACATGTGCATGTTGTGGCTATTGAAGATGCTGTCCTGTGAGAAAGTTGCCTCATCCGTGAATAGCACATCCAATGGGAAATCCATTTGCGCTGCACACTGCTGCAAGAACCAATGACAGAAATGAACTCGAAGAGGGTAATCTGTCTCTTGCAAGGCTTGGACTCTCTGCAAATGGTATGGGTGCAAACCATTTTCATGCAATACTCTTCAAACGGTTGAATGACTCAGCTGCAGACGATGTGCAATAGCTCTTGTACTTGTCTGAGGTAATTCATTCACAATGTTCAAGATGGATTCTTCAATGTGAGGTTGTCGTGCAATTCTTCTTCCACTCCTAGTGTCAGAGGTGGCTTCAAATGATCCGTTTTCACACAGAGACCGATGCAACCTCTCAAACATTGTGTGCTTCGGCATACGCCTGTTCGGAAACTGTTCTTGGTACAACCACAGCGATGCTCTGTCGTTCTCATTAGCAGCACCATACATGAGATGCATGTAAGCTTTTTCCCTGTGCGTAAACTCGCCCATCACGCTCGACATCAGAGTTGCGAATGATCCTCTGATGCATCGGATCATGGTTTGTCCGGCTTATTACTGCCCTCTACCACTGCACTGCCAGCCAATCACAGCTGTAGTTCCTATTACTGCTAGTGTTCCCTTTTTTGAAAATTTATTGTAAATACTGTATTGCTGTAAAGAAACACTTTGCGTTGATGTACATAAACACATTTTCCTCTTGTGTCAGTTTTTTTTCGTTCCTGCCTTAACCTGTCACTTTAGACCCTACATTCCTATAAAAAATGCATGTTTTAGTATGCTCCACCATCCCTCTAAATTTGTCCCATGATCTATGAAACACCCTGTATATTTCACTGCGGGATGTTAATCATACTATGGTTCATATAATAATAGTTAACATTTAATACCATATGGAGAAACCTTTGGTTGAATAATCTCAGTATGAATTTATTTTCATGGTTTGGTTTTGCACTTAATTTACTTATGCTATCTGAATTTAAATGATATTGTAGATTAGTTCGAAAATTAAATCTTTTATATGTTTGCACATTTTTTTAATTATTTTAAATTTGCTTTTTTATGTATATACATGTTTGTTGATATTTAAATTTGTTTAAATTTGAATTATATAATATTATTTATCTGATTAACTGAAGCTCCTTCTCTTTCTCTTTTAAAAAGTTCTTTTAAAAAAAAGTATATTAAAGAAGTGCATCTTACAGCTACATACTTGCCAACCTATGACACTAAAAAATCCAGAGATTTTTTTAAGAAATCAGGAGATTTTTCACAATGTTAAAAAGACTTTTTAAACGATAAAAATATAGTTTTTAATAATAAATTAATTTTAAATAGTTACTAATTCTTAAATGCAAGCAACAAAAAATACCTTACAGATAAAAAATACTTTTATTACTTTCATCGCTTAAGAAATCAAAAAAAAAAAAAAAAAAAAAAAAAAAAGACATTTAAATCAGTTTTTGTACAAATGTTATGAACAGTGGCAGATTTTGCTTTTGTTAAGAAAGAAACTTCATAATTTTGTTCATAGCAATAGCCATGTAGACCTGCTTTCACTAATAAAAGTTTTTTTAATGTGTCATCACTTATATTAGGTCTGAATTTAGTCCTTGTTTTCGCAACAACACTGAAAATCCTCTCACACTCTGCATTACTATGGGGAACTGTCAAGATGGCCAACATAATTCTAGACAGTTCACTATATTTTAAAATTCCATCAGCACCTTTCAGTGTTCCAATTAAACTCCACTGGGTGTAAATCCTAGCTGATCTTTAAAACTTCATCCAAGTTTTCTAATTGAAAACTGCAAAATTGCAACTGCAATATTATCAGTGGCAACATCAAATATCATCATCTTTCATGACTAAATGAAGTAACACAGGAAATCTGTTCAAAAGGTACCTTATATTAGAAAAAGATGCATTTGCTAGAGCAGAAACTCAGCAACTTTAGCATGCACAATCACTTCATCGTTGACTGGAAATTTATGTAGTATGTAATCGCATACTCGACAGAAGTAACTTCTAACATGAAGATAAAACTAATTTTTGTCTTCTGAAAGTTCTTCCACTACTTTTGTAGTTGCAGCTCCTAATACCAAATCTTCATCTTTCTTCTGATTATCTATTTCACCATAAATCACATCATATATAGAATTACAAGGCAAAACAGGTTTTACAAACTTTGATAAAATGTCTTTAAACAGATCATAAATCATTGATTTCAAAACATGAATTTATGGAATTCTGCTTTATAGAACTGTGTTAAGAACATCGAATGATGGCAAATTGAATTATATATATATATAAAAGCTTTGTTAAGATCCAAAGAAAAAAACATAAATATTCATTCTTCACAAAATATTCTTTGTTTTAGATATAATCTAGAGAAAATTCAATTGCTTTCAGACGTCCAAAATGACTTTTGCTTTTTTGTTCATATAACGAAGTATTAAGCCAAGTTCCATAAAAATCGGGAGAAATTATAAGAATAAAAAAAAGTCGGGAGAAATATATTGTAAATCGGGTTGGCGGGAGAGCGGTCAAAAATCGGGAGAGTTGGCAACTCTGCAACTAATAACCTTTCAAAAATGAAGAAATTTGATATATTATATGATATGTTTGACACATAATTATTTTCTAGAAAAGTAAATGGAAAAGATACATAAGTAATTTGTACTTTAAATAATAATAATGTAATCTTTTACTGATTTCTGTTGCCTTAAACAAGTGCTTCCCAGAAATTCTTTGAAATTAGACAAGTCCAATTAACAGCATATTTCAGATTTCTTTTCATGTCTTGAATAAATAAACACATAAAATGATTAGCCTGTTAAATACTGGTAATTTAAACCTGGATACAAATCCCAGTAAACAGGCTATCTGCATGTGCACTTTCATACTTTTCAGATATGTACCATGAATATCAGCTAACTTCTTGCAGGAAAGTCCTTCTTGAAAACACTCCTCCCTTAGCAAATAACATTTGTGTGCTTAATTAAAATCAACTAATTTCTATCTTCACCTGGTAATTAGAGTCTCAAAAACAAAAATACTTTCACAACTACAGGAATTTTAATTTTCTGTGTCACTTACTACTTTGTCATCTTTCGTCTTAGCTTTATTTCAGATTTCATTCTGAAGAGCTACAATAATTCATCATCCATACATTAATGAAATAAGTGCAGATAAATAATAATTACACATAGACATATAAGATCTAAGGTACTTAAAACTAAAGGAGGAGTGATAAAATGATTTTTTAAAAAACTGCTTGCCACACCAGTACTCAAAATAAAATGAAGTAAAATTTCAAATTTAAGGTTGTATTGATTTATTACAGCAACTCTATCTGTTTCAAGAGAGTTAGACTATTGTGCAGGTTGGCCCATACCTCCTGGCATTTTCATTTAATTGAAAATTTTGCATGAAAAATAAAATGGTTTGGCAATGTGTTTTGTTTTTCAATACAGAATTATGTGATCTACAAAGCAGTGTGTTTAGTTTTTTTTCATGTCATTAAAATGATTGCTCATGCAGACAAAAAAATCATTTTTGACAAACTTCTGCTTTTTGTGTTTAATCAAGGTGGCAGAAGTCACAGAAGCTGTGTAAGAGATTTAAAAAGTGTATGCCAAAGAAGTGATTCTTCTTAGGAAGGCTCAACATTTATTAGCTATTCAAAGACTATGATTTCTGTCATCGAAGCACTGAAATGCTTGTTGAATGTTGGAAAGACGTTGTTAAGACCAACAACGAATACATTACTGATTAATCTGTTGCTCATATCATGTTTATTTCTGGGGAAACCTTGAAAAAACAAAAAACTAGAACTTACGTGCCATCCCAACAAGAAGCCTCCTTCTTCATGAGGCAAAAGTATTCTGCTGGTTTGATGAACAATTATGCTGCCAGATGAACTGACACATTGCCAATGCTAAAATCAATATATTTCTAATAAAACTAACACCAAAATTAAGACTGAATTCTTGTCTAGTTCTGTCTTTCACTTTGATATCTGCCACTTCATTGTATTTTATTTCTAGGCATTACCTGAAATGTTTCACTGATATCTATCAAAGAAGTTTTAATGAATTTGGAGGGAAAAAGTAAACTTTCATTTTCTAGTCAAAATCTTTCAATTGTACACCATAATTTTTTTTTTTTTTTAAACAGAACATGCTTTACATAAAACAGGAATAATTAATGCTTAAAATTTATTTAAGATATTAGATTTCTTTTATTATTTAAAATAAAGAGATTATTACAAAATTTCATTACTTAAGGTTATTATCTAAAATCATTGGCAATAACTTACGTGAAATGGAACTACACAATTGAATAATGAGATTTTATACTCTGTGATTCTTTTCAGTTTTTATATAACTACAGAATTAAAACTTACATTGATTCATTTTAAAATACTCAAAGAGATTATTTAATTTTAATAGTTACAAGGCTTGAAACCAGATCAATAATGATTATAAATGTTCATATAACTGCAAAACATGAAAAGCACTTACACCTTGAAATATCTTCATCGGATGTATCATTTATCTGTGGAGTAGCACAGTCAGCATCCCCATCACACACCCATCCCTTTGGTATACATTCTCCAGTTTTGACACATTGAAATGATCCAGGATTACAAATTTGTCCTACAAAAATTATAAATTAGCTATTTATTAAAAATCGAACAAAGTTAAAAAAACTTTAACATAAAATTTTCTTTGTATGATAGAATAAAAAATAACACTGAGAATAACATAAGCACTGAAGAGAAATTACATTATGACCACCCTGTTAATAACATGTAGGACCTCCTTTAGCCCTCAAAACTGACGACACCCGACATGACATTGACTTCACAAGGTGCTGATACATAGTCTAATGTATCTGGTACCAAGCGCTCACCAAATGGTCCTGCATTTCCTACACATTGTGAGGGTGTAGCGTGGCAGTACGAATTTGGTTTTCCAGGTGGGACCACAAATGCTCTATTGGATTAATGTCAGGTGAATTTGGAGGACAAGACATGACTTGAAAGTCACTGGAATGTTCTTCGAGCCACTCCCTGATGATTCGACCCTTATGACATGGTGCATTATCCTGTTGGTAAACAGCCTCTTCCACTGGAAATACTGTTGTCATGAATGGGTGAACCTGGTCCGCAACGATGTTCACATAGCGAATAGATGTCAGGGATTGTTCTATAGGAATTATTCCTAATGTGCTCCATGAAAACATTGCCTACACCATAATACCTCTGGCACTGGCTTGCCTCTGTCCAACCGTGCATCCAGGAGCCAGGGTTTTGATTGAAAATTGGCATATTAGCACACGCCCGTCAATGTGATGGACCAGAAAACGTGATTCATCAGACCATGCAACTTTCTTCCATTCTTATAATGTCTAATTCCAATGTTTCTAGGCCACTACAGACACAGCTGGCGATGACATGCAGGGAGCTGTCAGTGCAGGGAGATGCTTCGTCATCTGGCTGCGTAGTACGTTCAGAAACACTGTCTAGGTCACTACTGTTGTAGCTTGCGGTGATTTTGGTTGTTGTAGCTCTTTGGTCATGGCAAACAATAGTATCGTATTTATAGTAGTAATCTCCATTCTGCTCTGGAATCAATGTACTGCCGACAACACACTGCTGGCTGGTTACTTGTTGTTTCACCACTTTCAATATGTGCTCAAAACAACTGCACATGAACAGCCCATCAAATGCGCCATTTCTGATATAGATATTTGCAGTCGCCAAGCTATAACGATTTGATCTTTATCAAAGTCTGATAAATAAGCTTTTCCCATTATGTCGCTAAATTATGCTATGTATGGAAAGAAATCAAATTAACCTTAATTTTCCACAAATATCGCACAGAGCACAACGTGTCTGGATCAATGACACATATTCACATGAATGCAGCCATGATAAATAGGACCTGCAAGGGAGTACTAGTGAGTGAAGGCAAAGGGAAGCAAGAGGATCATAAAATGATCCAACGTCACAAATAAGGAGTGTATGAAAAAGCAAATCGATAAGTGTAGTAAAATTAACTGGCAGTGGTTTAAACTAAGAAAATCACCACACAGAGTAAAGAAATACAATGTAAAACAAGTACAATGTATGGAAAGACAATGCCAATGCATAGCAACTTTATACAGTCCAACATCAGCCATGCACGCGCAGTGTTTTTGTTCCGAGGGAGCTCATTATTATAGATATAGGGTGGTCATAATGTAATTGCTCTTTGGTGTATATAATCTAGTGGTAAAGGAAAATTTTTAAAAAAAAATCACTTTTAAATATTACAGCAGAATCTAGAAATCAAACTGCAAGATTTCCCGAACCTAATCCATTAGATTTTCAAGATTAATGATGACTATTAAATACTACAGAAATTGACAGGATAAATTTAAAATTTATTTTATAAGATATCTTCAGAAAAAAATATTTATGCAACTATTACTAAATAAATTTGGCTTTTAAAAAAAATGTGACAAAATATATCTCACTGCTTAAAATTATATACTATGAATATTGCTTTAAAAAAAAAACTACAGTTAACTCCTATATCACAATATTCATGATGTAGAATTACTGAAATTTGTTTCATTCTAGTGAATTACTTTAGAAACAGAAAATTATAAAATGTCAAAAACTTCAAAAGCATATTACAAACATAAGTAAAACCATAGGTTATAACTGTTACAAAAACATAGAGTTAACATTAAACATTGTAAATAATCTAAAAACAAGAACTGTCTATTTGATAAAATAATTACATAAATTTAAAATGTTAACTATTGAAAGTGTTTTATTTATTTATTGAATAAAAATGTATGAAGTTAAAACTGGTTTGATTTTATTGAAAAATGATATTTATAATTACTTAAAATATAAATAATTATTTTTCTATACTTATCCCTCAACTAATTTAAAAAAAAAAATATTGCACCTATAAAATATCATTCTAGCATAAAAGTTTCATTCTTCATTTCGAATGATTTAGTAACATATCCATAACATTAAATGAAACTTCAATATGTAAAAAATGTCTTCTTTTCAAAATAACAACAGTCAAAAATAACTTCTGAAATTTATCAATATTTTTATTTGATAAATTTCAATTATTGATAATCCGAGTAATATTTAGTATATCATCAGCATCTATATTATTGTTTAAAATAATTAAATTTCTTTTATTACTTAAGATTAGTAGATTACATTATCACCAGATTTCATATATTATTTAAGGTTATCCTTATTTAAAATTATAGGGTACAATTTATGTGGTGTAACTTGATATGATACATTTGTATAATGAACACATCTGTCTATGCTATCTCTAAAAATTATGTAACCAATTCAAAAACTATAAAATCATTGAAGTCTTGTAACTTGTTCTTTCCCTAACATGGATTTTAATTGTAACATTTCATAACCACCTTATTTCTTTTGATGAGTACTATTTAAAAAATCATTTAATATTCATTTTATGTGAACCTTTAATGCATGGAACTTATGAATGTCTGCACTTTCTATAGTGGGAGTCTCAAACTGGTGGCCCTAAGCAATTTTACATGACCCTTAAATGTATATCCTGTAAATTATTTAGTATTATTGTAACATTAATTATTATTGAGGAGAATTTGAAGATATGTTTCAGATTTTAATGATTTTTTTTTTTTTCTAATTTTACATTATTTTCATTAAAAACATGAGTAATGGACCAGAAATTCTACATATGAAGTTAAAATGAATTTACACTGTGATATAAATCTTATACAGAGATTTGAGAATACAGATTTGATTAGCTGTTTTTTGTACTTGTCAAATAATAAAAACTCAATTATAAATTTCTACAATATGAATAATTCCTTTATTTGGGAATAAACAAGGTGGGTTTAAATAAGATAGTTTTTTGCAGATTTTAGACAAAAAATAAATACTACAAACTGTATTAAACTGGAATTTTTCCTTTGCATGATTGTTACCACTATTTATGAACACTGTGACAAATATTTAGTAAATAAAATTTTTAATTTTGTTTAAAAAAATGTTTTTGAAGAAAACTTTTCACTTTGATTTAAAATAAAACTGGCGCATCAGCTGCTTTTAGGGTTATAGTATATTTAAGGGTGCCTCTGGGATTATTGCTAAGTTGTTGTTTCATTTATGGTAACCTGAGTAGTTGAATGTTACGGAAACTCTGTTACGACATAATTGCTTGCATGATTGCGGTGAATTTGAATGATGGGAAAAGATTAGTAAGGGCTTCTTAGTGTGTTGGATGTTGGTTTAAGATGTACATTGGTTATTTTGTGGTTTACATTGTAAAATGGCTGAATGGCAAGATTAATTTGAAGTTTCTGTATTTTTGGAATGAAAGAGAAGAAAAGCATTAATTGACTGGTACATAAATGAAGGTTTACTTAGTAGCCATTCTAAGTATCCTGTTTGTACGAAGGAAATGCATATGGTCGAACGTCAGAGAATGCCGGCACTACAGAGGATATTTTTTACTCTTATTTTTGTGTTTTTGTCAAGTTATGGGGCAATGCCAGTATACAGATTCTAGTTCAAATAATTTTAGTTAGTTTTGGAGGAAGCACTTCTGCAAAGAAGCTGGTAAATGTAAACACAGCAAACAATGGCGATGATAAACCTGGTAACCCAGTGTATTCAACCTATTAGCTTGCTCGAAGGTTGCAACCATTCCTCTTATGTTGATTTTGTCAAATTATCACTCATTCTTCACTTATTATTATTATTATTTTCGGATTTTCATGTTATTTTTTATGTATTTTTAACAATGAATAAATAGAAATATTTTCATATAATTAAGGAAGTTTTCAAAGACAGATGATGGTTTGCAGAAGAAAATATGGCGGGAGGGGGTGAATGATAATTGGTAACACAGCTGTTAATGCAGCATTAAACACACAGAACCATGAGGTTTTTAACCCCTAAAATATTTTGATTTCGTAAGCTGCCAAAATATGCATTTTAAATAATTAATTAAGTAATGTTTATATTTTTATTATTGGTTATTATTATCTAAAATAATGATAATAAATCAATATTTATGGCTTAAAATTTTAATGAGATGATATATTGTTAATGCTCTTCTGACAATAACCTTTGAGAGGATGGTAGGTGTGATGCACAATAGATGATTAAATTGAAATAAAAATATATTATTGATACTCTAAGATGACAGAATAGTTTTATAGATACCCAGGTCATCAAAATTAGGAAACCACTATTTGTGTAACAAATCCAAGTTCAAATGACTGTTGAAAAATAATAAAATGTATAACGTTTTAGTTTTATTAAGAATGCTACTGAAGAGAATTTGAGTACTATTGAAGGTTATTGATATTGTCAAATATATTATGAAAAAGACAGGCAGTTGTTTCAACACAAAATGCTTTAAGCTGTTTGCAAGTAAATTGAAAAATAAATAAAATTGAAAAATTGTTTACGTAAAATGGATGTATTAAAAGTCATGCATTTATTAATTTACTACAGGGGCATGGCTCTTATCGAAATAAGACTGTCATCGAATGACTGGTTGGAATCCGACACTTCTTGCTATTTGAAACCTATTTCACTACTTTTAAAATGATGTAAATATGTAGTTGTTGC